ATTTATGTATATAAAATCTAATAAATATATTAATATAATATAATGAATGTATCCTTTGTAGAGATAAATATGATCGATATCCTTACTACACCATCAATGGCAAAGCCAAAACAAGACTACTCACGTACTCCAGGACAACTGTTGTCACTCATCAGTTCTCTGGGTTTTGTAAGTAATTGTCGCTGTCTTTGAAGTACTTCATTCTTTTACTTTACTTACTGTCTTAAATGTAGTAATAATAGGAGTGATCAGGCTATTCTTGCATCTCTTCTGCCAACTGGTAGAATGACTTATTGTATGTTTCCAGTACCTTGAAGTTCCGAAGTGATTACCTTGGACCATATTTCAAATTGCTGGCTATCAGCTGTGCTTCAAAAAATTTGGTAAATGGGCATGGCTAAGCTCCAATGCAAAGACAAAGAAAGAATGCTTGAAGTTGCACTCTCAATCCTGGATATTTTGTTCAGTCTCTATTAAATTCTAACTATGCTTCCTACTGCTTGATAGTATACTCCTGTTGGAATGAAAATGCCAGCGCACAATTCAAGTCAATCATCTGACAGTCTACGTGGAGTGGTTTCTCCCTTACCTATGGTCCAAAAGGAAAATACTCCTCTTTCAACTAAATTATTCAAAACATGTGAGTATACTAAGCCTTGTACTGAATAATACTCTGGCTGTAAGGTTGTGATCTTTTAATTTTATGTGAATAGCTTGGACCCACTTGATAAAAGGTGTGCTTCCATCAGTGTCTTCCTGTCTATCATTCCTCCAGTACTTAAGGTCTGTCTTTTTATTCACCTACACTACTTATGTCATCGTTTATTTTTTTTCAAATGCACAACCACTGAATTCAAAATGACACTTTAAGATTTTACAGAAATTATGTCAGTTCTTGGCATACTCTCATTGAAAATGATTTGATACATCAATGTATCAAATGTATCAGCTTTCATTTAAATTGTCTTATCTTCCTGCTTTCTCATTTCTAACCTGAAATGAGAAAGAAGGTTTTTTTATGGTGCTAATGTTCACATTGCTTTTAAATTCTTGGCAAGACCCTACTTCAAAAACTGGGTGAATTGACTATGCAGGAAAGATTACAAAAGAGATTATGGTGTCATGCATAGCTCTCCATAACTTCCTTCAATGTGAAAACTTGACATAGTGTGAAGCTGGTTAATATATGTTGCCTATTTGTATCAACACTTGAATTTATTTTTTTTTTTCCTCTCAAGGTCTTGATACTTCTCAATTAACTCCTGTGATGCCAGTGAGAAGTTTAACTCCTACTCTACTTCAGTCAAGAAAAAGGTTTGGTACCTCCAGTGCCAGTAGTCAGTCGCACACATACCTGTCCAGTATGGAATCAGAATGCTGCAGCAGCCCCAGGTGGGAGAAAGATGTAGAGGTCAGGACTGTTTCATTTTCCCACTATAAATTAAAATTTGCTTGTATATGCACTGTTGCAGATGTCTGCTACTTATTTCTTCCAGTTATTTCAAGTGTAGAGAAGCCTTCCTACAGGTGAAGGAGCAGGGGTTGTAATCCTTGCAGAACAGGTGTTTTGGATCAAACTAGTATTTTTTCTTCAAACAAATATTAGTCTTGTGCAACATAACAGGAAAAGCAAATGCCATTTAGTCTGCAGCAAAGGAGTGAAAGAGAAGGCCTTCTACTGGATAGTGCTGGTTTAGCCCTATTATACACAAGGTGGGCAGTGCTGGGACCAGTGGCTCTTTGGAAGCTGACCTTGTCCCTGTAGTTTCATTATCTCAGCATGCAAACAAAAGAATTTCTTTAAAAGGCAGAACATCGGGAAAAATAATAAGATATACTTCAAACTTCTACTAGCCATTAAAAACTGAAAAAGTTTGAGGCTTATATTCCTGAAGGGTATTGTATCAACTAACCTAACACCAGTAATTATAGCTGATACAAAATACTTTCTCCTATTTTAAAATGTTAATGAAATTCTGTACAAATGCAGACCTAAAAGAAAATGCTGCTGTGCTTGCTATGATTCCTATTTAGATCACACACAAACTCAGTTTTAAAACATTTTCTAATTCTTTATCTGTCTAATTCCCAAGGCCTTGTTTTTAGTATTGTTACCAAAATAGTAGTAATACCAGATTTTTCCTTTTGTCATCTCTGAAGTATAATATGCCACAGGGTAGCATGATGGGGTTCTTTTGGTTTGGGGTTTCTTGGAAACTGAGAACTTCTGTAGCTTAACTTCTTAAATCACAAATACAACTCTAATTGCTACATTTCTTCATCTTTGGGCATTTAAAAATACTGCATTTTCTATTCTAGTAAGCTTATTTTATGTTCTGAAAAAGTCAAATTATCCCTAATTTAGTTCTGAATTTTTTTAATATATTATGCCACGTTTGTCACTGCTAGTGGTTATAAGGAGTAAGTAATGTTGCTAATTTGCAGTTCTTTATGAAAGGGGAAATAAGGTATTTTAAAGGACACATTTCTATAATGCTGTAATCCTATTTTTCTTGATACTCAAAACTTAATGTGCTCATTTGCAGCAAAGTGAAGATGAACGATGTTCTGCAACAGGCAAAACAAGTAACAGTGGGTCAGCTCTCCTTGCAAATGTAGAATTACTGAATAGCAAAGGTATTAAAGTTCTAAAGAAAGAACAACTGGAATCTGCTATTTCTCCCATCAGCAGCAATGATTCTGGCAGTAGGCAAAAGTTGGGAAGTGAACATTCTGATGTAATGGATACTCCTGTGACCACATTGGATATGAAAGGCATAGTCAGAAAATGTCTTTCTGAAAATAAGATTTGGGAAGAAAAACTCTTTGTAAATAAGAGAGATATGACTAATGAAACAGCAGAAACTTCTAATCAACAACAGTCACCTTCAAGGAAGAACAAGCCTGTCAAGCCTATAAAAGATGAAGAGATTTTTGAAAAGCCAGGTGTAAAAAGAAGCTTTGAATTAGTAGACACTAGTCCTTGTCAGAAACTTAACTATGTTAAAAAAAGCAATGCAGAATATAAACGTGGCTGTCAGATCTCAGAATTTCCAGCAAACAAAAGGACTGGTTTGACAACAGAAATACAATCCTTGATGCTTCATGATGATGGATGCTTACATGACACCTGCAAAAGCAAGGAAGAAGTTAAGAGTTTTATTGGTAACCAGCAAACAGTAGAAAAATCACTTACTCCAATTATAGCCAAAAATCTTATGTGTGATCTGGATGCAGACTGTGAAAAGGATGATAAAAAGGAGCATATGAACTCAAGTTTTTTAGGCACTGATGATGAAAAACCTTTAGGAATCCTCAGTGCAGATTCTGACTTATCATTTCCTGAAATGTCTGTTACAGAAAGCCATTTAGAAAAGCAGCTTTTAGATTTGGACAAAAGTGTTAAAGACCTCTCTTTTGAGGAACCAAAACCAGAAGGCATGCTTACAACATTACCAGAGTCCCAAGATGCCTCACAAAATGGAGAGGAAGCACATACTGTCCAGGACTGCAAGCCATTACATCTTGACAAGGATAATGACCAAAAACACATGAAAGAAACTTATCTTGACACAGTATCTTCTCCTTCAGAAAAGATGATGGAAGCACTGAATGTCTTAAAAAAAAATGCTGTTGTTTTTCGAAGTTATAACAGTCCAATTAACATATCCAATGTATCTGAGCCATGTAGCATGGCTTCCTTAGATATAATGGATCTTTCACCTGCATGTAGTGGCTCTTACCCAACAGCTATTACTCCATTACAGAAAGGAAGACCTTATAGGGTGTATCAGGTATGTAAGGAGACATGTAGAAACTTTGTGCATGCGTTAGACACTAGTAATCTGAAATTATTTCAGTTGTTAATTTAGGGAAAAATTAAGTAGTTTGAGCTAGTCTGTCAAAGTGACCTTTGCTGACAGGCTTTCATTTATTGCACTTGTGTGGCCAAAGTTGTAGTTTCTCTAAGAGATTAAGAGATTAGCAATAATTGTATGTCCTCTGGCTCAACGTGCATTGTCTGTCCACTTCTCTGAGAAATCCTTTACTCTTACAGTGAACTGTTAAAGAAAGCCTGTGTTTTTTTGTCTCATCCTGCTTTTAGTGCAATGTGGTACTTCCTGTGAGTAATTATAGGTTTCCTGATGTAACAGGAAGTCTTCCTTTTTCTTTTTTCTTTTTATCCTGTATCCCTCCCAAGATGGTTAGCAAATGCTGTTCAGCTGCTAGTAACTGCTATTGTGCCTGTTTTCTTTTTTTATTCTAGTAAAGGTGATGGTGTAATGTGTACTGTCAAGTACCAATTACAAGCGTATTACAAAGATTGAGGTAATCAGTAACAGCTGCTTGCAGGCTATGAAGTTTTTGCGTCAACCTTTTTAACCTTTCTGATAGTAAGGAAAATTCTTATTGTCCTAAAATAAGTTAGAGCCCTGATATGGGAAAAGTATACTTTTCAATCAGTGTTTCCTGTTTTGTTTTGGCATAACTGGCAGCATGTTAATGACTTGGTGTACCAGAAAGGGGACATGCAAAATGTTGTTTTTCGAAAGCCTTTTTTCTAATGTCTTTGTCTGAATTGCTAGCTTCTGTTTCATCTGCATAAAACTTTAATTGACTATGAAACTTAGCTTGTATTTAGATGAAATGGAGTCAGAGTAGTATGCACTTCATCTCCTGAGAAATAAATGGCTCATGGCATCGTATGTTTTTGTAACTTAGATTTGAACTGGAGGATACCTTTTTCAAATACTCTTGTGACTCTTTTAAAATCACATCATTGTGACCTGATTACCTATTTTCTATTTTAATAGTGGATTCTGTAGCCTTCATGGCATAGTGATAATGAATTTATCTTTGTAGCACAGACGATGAAGTTGGAAACAAAATTAGACAAGATACATGGGAATTAAGGGTATACTGAAAAATAAACAATGAGAGTCTCTGCAAGATAATTTAGTAGTATCTCCAGGTCATAACAGGAAATCTTTCACTGCAGTCAGCCTATTGACTATAAGAACTTATTGATCTCTTTTCAAGCATGCATATTTTATCTTCAAATAATGGCCAAAATTACTTTCAGAAGCTTTGTGTAGCTGTAAACAGTCACTAAGTCCTAACTTGAGCAGAACTTATGTGCAGGCATTATGCAACTCATAGGATACAGGTTAAACAATAAAGGTCTCATTTAATATATTTTGGTGTGAGTATGTGAGAAAATCCATGATTCTCCTTTTTATTTTACAGGTATCTAACATATGCTTGTTTTTCATTGGCTATTATTAAGAACGCAGTGCTAAAATTGAAGGCTATTTTGACATTTTATTTAGTAGGCTGTCTTTAGATTTTTTTGGGTGATATTACTTGTGAATTTGACACTGGAGGAAGAACTTGGGGAAAAATGTCTCAGAGTAGGCATCGATTAACTGTTTACACTTCAGGATGGTTGAGATAAAGAAATGGAAGCACATTTCACACTTACTTTTTCAGGGAATATACATGTTATGACATATTCTTGACTTGAACTTAAGTATCAGCTGTTACCCCCATTACTAAACACTGGAGATGGGAATTTCTCTGCTGGTTTTGTTTGACATCTGAAATCTTTGTTGATTCTTTTAAGACACCTCATCAGGGAGATGCTGGCACACCATATAGGACTCCAAAGAGTGTAAGAAGAGGAGCTGCCCCAGTAGAAGGTGAACGCATCCTAGGGACCCCAGACTACCTGGCTCCTGAGCTGCTTTTGACAAAGCCTCATGGTAAGATGAACCAAATATGGAGTTTGTAAATACTTGAAAGGTGACATATTTACATTTCTAAATGTCTCTAGAGCTCTGAATCCTTCAAGCAATACAATAGTGAATTCTTTAAAAATAACTAGTGCTTAGTTTTTGCCCACATGGATGGCTGCATTTACTTTGGCTGCTCCTTCCATTTACTGTTTTCTCATGACTGGAGGTTTTGACTGTCTAGCATAGCCTTGCCCGCTAATTTAATGCTTTGGAAGCTGTACTTAGGCCACCTAAGACTTGCATGTGGCTTAAGAATCACAACTTGGTCATCCTGAGTGTTATTAAAGATTCTTGGGAGGGGGGTAGGATGAACTTGGTGAAATTTAGTATGAAAGGATTAAGTCTACAATTATTCTTAGAATGCATTCCATGTTTATCGATATTAGTGTTATATGCATCCAGACAAGTTTATAAAGTTGTGTTAAAATTGGTTATTGAGTTGAGTGACCTCATGAAACACTTAAGATTTCTGGCAGGATTTTCCATATAAGTGGACAGTAGTAGCCATTTTTTTTTTTTCCAAAATAATGCAAGAAAATAAAATAGCACAACTCCAAAGTGCGTCAGTTTCTTTGGCTCAAATTCTGAGCTCCATGGAGATCAACAAAATCCTGAAGTATTTTCGTGCTAACTTGCAAGAAGCATTAACAAAAAATAAATGTAATGTATCACAGATACCTTGAGTGTATTTATAATTACGTTTTATTTCCATCTCACAAGTATACTTTTATTTTGTAGAGCCAATAGTCTTAGAGAAATTATATGATATCTTAATTGAGAAATGGTGATTACTAATCTGTGGAACAGTAACATTTTGCTGTATGCAGCCAATATATGTTAACTAAAACTGCATAAAGAGTAATGACCAAAATTACTAAACATATGGAAGTGCAAGACAACTACTACATTTAGGAATCCTAGCTATTTGGCAGGCATTAAAACTGGATAATAGTGTGGGAATGTAATCAATGCTACTTAGGCAATGTGAAACTTGGTTGCAAAGTGACTTCTGTGCAATTATTTAGTGTATTCAGGAAGTGATAACTTGCAAAGAGTCTGGGTTTTATGTCAGGAAATGTCAGATCTCCCCTTACCTTCAGTGAAGCCAGGGTTTTCTGGCTTCAGAACTCAAAACTTTCCCTCACTAAATATTTCTGATATTGTTAACTTGTTTGTAAATGTAGTTGTAATGCTAAACTTCAATGATGTTACAAAACTATTTTATTTCTGTTTCTAACTTAGATTTAAGACTGCCATCTATCTTTATTGTTGAGTTACTACCTTAAAATAATTGGCATTCCTATGCCTTCAGAGAATCATACTTGGTATTTGATGTTTTTTTGTTAGGTTTTTTTTGCAATAATTGTAATGTTCTTGCTTCGTTGTCTTTCCATATGCAGGGACTCTGATCTCTGGTGAGTTTGCAGAAATGGAGTGTTCAGCATAACTGTGAACAGTCAAAGTATAACTAGATCACAATTTCCAAGAAAATTGTTTGGGTGAACAATGTTTCTGTATAGAAAGATAAGTCCATATACGCACTCCACATAAGAATGTGTGATACTTCCACAAAAGATTCATGAAACATCAGTATTACTGTGACTAGGCTATTAGAAATCCCACTTAAGCCTATACTTCAGGAGTAAAGTCAGCATTTTTAAAGACATAGTGTATCAGGAAATAAACCGGAGACACTTTCCTCACTGCTTCATTTCACTTTGATCAGTCTGAATTACTTTGCGTATGGGTAAAGAAGGCTTAGATGCTCAAGACCTGGTATTTCTGTTTCTTGTTTCAAATATTGATAGACATGATTTAGCAGGGATATGGTAGGAGTCATTCTAATCTTCAGTTAAACTTTGGGTGGGAAAAATTGCTGCTGCATTACTACATTGTTCAGAGTTGTGATCTTACTAGACTTTGACTGAAGGTGGAAATATTTTAGCTGAACATCTAAGTCCCTCTAACAACAGTGGATGTGATCTCACTGCTTTGATATGCTTAGCTTGGTGGGGCACTCTTACTGCTGTTAAAAGTTGCTAAAAGTGCATTAGTTTACTAGTTCTACATTTCAGTTTTCAGCATTTCTAAACTTAATCAATAGTTCTTTTGAAATGGCTCAAAACATTTGTTTTCTTAACTTGGAGATGTCATAATTTTTTTTTAATATGCCAAAAAGCCAAGAAAAATTACACTTTTTCAAATCTTTTTTTTTTCAGTGTGGCACCTTTTGTTTTTTTATATAGTGGAGTGGGCATGGCTTAAAGAGGCAGAAAACTTAGAATGCATGCAGTGGTGTCTGGGGTGGCTTTGCCGGCTTGTTTTTAAGTGGGTTTATAAGATGTGTTTGGCAAAAATAGCAAATTGGAACATGGACAAACAAAATTAAGGAGATGTCTAGTAACTATGCATTGCCCTAATCAACTTTAATGGAAAGTAATTCCAGCTTTTTGCGTGCTGGCTCATATCTGTGAGCTGTCTTCAATATTTTGACATAAATTTAGACAAATTAAAATTGAGTTCGATAGTTTGAATTCTTGGAGTCCTCTCCAAGAATTGAGAGAAAGATACGGGTTACAACATGGAGCATTCATCCAGCCTCTAGAGCAGTTGTTAGAGAAGTGTTTCTTATCACAAAACAATCTGCTGGAGAAGTCAGCTCCTGGATTCTCTGATGTGAGTTGATATTTAGATTGTTCTTAAGAGCCCCCTTGCTTTTAGCAGTAAACCTGCTATTTATAATAAATTAAGGAACAGACTGTCTTTTAAAAGCCCTTTAATATATTTTTAATCTCTTCATGATTATTAAGTATGACTTATTTCATCCCTTCCTTCATTTCCAAGAAACTTCGTAGGATTTAAACACTCTTCAATTTCTGCCATGGCTCATCTTCAAATCTTTGCAAATACCCTTAACTCTTTGTGTTAGTGTAATGACCTATATTTCTCTTATCAGGTTCTGCTGTAGACTGGTGGGCCCTTGGAGTTTGTCTGTTTGAGTTTCTCACTGGAATTCCACCTTTTAATGATGAAACACCAACACAAGTATTCCAAAATATTCTGAAAAGAGGTAATCTGTTTCAGTAATTGGGAGAAGTATGTATCTCCAACATTTGTTTTATGGTTTGTTACCTACTCATCTGCATCTTTGTCTGTAGATATTCCCTGGCCTGAGGGTGAAGAAAAGCTGTCTCGTAATGCCCAAAATGCAATAGATATTCTTCTAACAATTGACAGCACTAAGAGAGCTGGACTGAAGGGTTAGTATTAAAATCCTCTTGTGTTCTTTGCAACTAATTAAAAATATCAAAGAGGTGATGTCCTCCTCCTGAAACCTAGACTAATTAATGTCTATTTAGGTTCCATGTATAGTGCCAAAGCACTTAACAAGTTGTGGTATCTTCTGTATTTCTTATGAGATTTTGCCCTTTTGAATGAGGAAGTTTGGGGGTGGGTTTTTTATTGAACTTCTGTTTTGCTTTAATGCTGGTTTGCTATGGATGTTTAGTGTTTGACATCTGACATACCGAAGTTCATTCTTATCTAACTCGGTAACAGTTATTTGGGTTTTTTTGATCTAACATTCTATGAACCTTGATTAAAAGCCTAGAGTTTGGGAGAGAAGCCTCATACAAAAGTTAATTTGGAGGAGCTTTTTCTTAAGAATCAGCCTGTCTTTACAGAGTGTATAAGGGAACACAGAGTTACACAATATACACTATACAAAGTCTATATAATTTTGTCCCTTGTAGCACTTAAACATATGCTGTTGTAACAGTGACTATTTTATTTAAAAATTTGATAATGTTAAGGAAGCTTAGAGTGAGATATTTTGGAAAAAGAGGAGGAAGTCTTATGAGAGAGCTACCCAGGAAATTACTAGAGAAGAAAATTATTATGGAAATGCTTACTCATAAAGAGACTAAAGGCTAGAAGCTGAAACCAGGCCAAATCAAATTAGAGAAGGCACATGGTTGTAAATGAAGATCATGATGTTAACAGGGAATTCTGTGGCACTCCCAAAAAGCATCTAATATCTTAATTTGAAGGCGTTTTAGTTAAGCACAAGTTACTGTCTTTCTTCATGGATACTAGGGTGAAATCTAATTGCCTGTCATGGATAGAAATCTAAACTAGATGACATAAAGGTTTCTTCCAATCTAAAGTTCTTGGAATTTCATTCTTTGTCAGGACCTTTAACGGTATCTGATCTCTTTATCTGATTTATAGGCCACTGAAGTGAAGTTGGATGAGTAGCTTTCAGGAAAACCATTAAGTTTTCCTCACTGTAATTGAGTTTCCATCACTGTCATCTTCTCCCCACCTGCCAACACACATGTGCGCACTCTATTTCTCCAGTGTGGAGCCTAACTTACTGAGAAATCCCAGTTACATTTTGTCCTAGTGCTGTGCTTCTATGAGCTCAATCTTTCCGGATAAGAGAAGCTTTAAAGCAGCATTTGGTAGAGAACACTCATATCCAAAGTTTGGGTTTGTTCGGTTTTTCACCCCTCTCTTCAGAGATGTGGGCAGGAGCTGGCTGCCAGCTATGGTACATATTGAGACTTCTTTGGAAGAGTCAATGAAGTCTGCTTACTTCTTCAGCTGAAGACAGCTTTCAGGATGTGAGAACTTTCTTAAGAGCAGAACTACATACAGCTCTAAGATAGTGGACCTGTGCAGTGTCTTGCTGCGTGTACGGTTGCTGAAGCTTTTAGAAAGAGAACACTAACCCTCTGTTTTACTGTCTTTTGTCTAAAATAAACTTTAATATTGTGTTATACATGATAAGGAAATGTAGGAATAATAAACAAGTGTTAATGTCTTACTGTCTATCAGCTAAAAGCCTGTGGTATGTACTTAGAATTAAAATTTGTAGTGAGTGTTTGTCATGGTCAAACTTCTACCTCCATCTAAATGTGATTTTTACCTGTCCTATTTTTTTCTATTTGCTTTTGATTTTTGTGGTGCAGCTTGTAAAAACATGAGTTTGTACCTAACTTGGCTGAAAAGGTGCTTCTTGCAAAGCAAAGCTGCTTTAATCAGGGAATGGTGTTTCCAGGCTATGCAAAAGACAGATCAGATCCTGTGTGCCAGGAAGTCCCTTGGTCAGAACAGACAGGGCAGAGGAGCTCTCCCTGAGTCAGGATGTCTTGCAGCTTGATTAGTTATCCCACCATCAGGCTGGGAAAGAAGGAATCTGGTGGTCTGTGGTAACGTCACCATAAGGGTGTTTAGACTTCTGTGTCTGGCAAAGGGGACTGTACAAAGCAGAGGAGCGCCGCTCCATGAGCTAGCAAAAGGCAGATGGCCTGGAGTGCAGAAGGGTAGGACTAACTCCCACACATCTTCTCAGCACTTGGGTAAAAGTAGAAACAGACTTTGAAGTGATGCTTAAAATTTCGGTCATGCCTTACGATGAGAAATGCCTCTAGGGCACCTCTGATCCACCATGTGCACAGTGTAGAATAGGTTCTTCAGCTAGGGGAAGACTATTAGTTGGCATGACAATAGTTTGATCCCGCTGAGGTTAGGGGTAATCAAAAAACAATTGCAATTTGCACTTCTGTGAATTTCCAAATCAGCAAAATAGAGCAAAGCTACTGACAGTTATGCATCAGGGGAACAAACCTACTGTGGGACTTGGACAAAAAGAAGTTTATAATGCTTACATGAACTTCTGTTTCAGAGCTGAAACATCACCCCCTCTTTCACGGTGTGGACTGGGATAATTTACAGAGTCAAACAATGCCGTTTATACCTCAGCCGGATGATGAAACTGATACCTCTTACTTTGAAGCTAGGAATAATGCTCAGCACCTGACTGTGTCTGGATTTAGCTTATAGCATCAAGATAACTGAACTCTCTCCATGTTTTTGCACACTTACAGGTTGTCCTATAACACTAGTTTGGTCTTAACTAAGTTTCCATGCTAAATTTAGACTGTGTTTTAAGTTATCAGTCTGTTCTTATTATTGTATCCTTTATTCTAAAGTGAAACTACTGTATGATCTTAGCTGGTACCAAGTGCCTTCATGCTACTTTTTATCTCACTTACTGCACCTTACTAAGAGGCAAGAGCATTGTATTTCTTGGAGCTAATAACACTTGGCAATGATGGGGCTTTTTCTAATAACAATGAGTAACTCCAGTTAGGAGGTGTGAAGTCATTTCCCAGTTTAAATTTAATAGAGACAGGACATAAATGCGTGCTAATTGTATCTAATTATAACTTGCCTGTTGGTGGTTGAGTGTAATGGCAGTCTTGTTTGGGAGTAGTCCTTTCTGACCGGTTTGAACGTATACATATCTACTGTGCTAAACTGATGGTTTTTATTTGAGGTGGAAAATTGAAATCTTAATGCAGCATTGAAATGTCTTACTTCTGTTTATCTTATCCCAAGAAGGGTTAAAAGGGACAGTGTTGTTCAAAGTTAACTCAGCTAGATGTGGCATGTGAGATTGACAGTAGTTCCACTGGTTATTAATCCTTTCCTAGACAAGTGGTGTAAGGAAAAGATACCTGGAGCAAGTCTGTTTAAATTGCTGTGTTGTAACCACTTAGACTGCAGGAAGATGGACTGAACAGCAAACATTTTAGCAATTACTTGTTTTAAATAGAAAATGCTGAGTATATGTGTTTGTGCTCACTTATGTTGGATGATAGAAAACAAAAAATCACCTAAGTGTTAGCTCACAAATGAAGTATTAGTCATACTGAAGCTGCTATATATTAAAGACTATAATGCATTACAAATTAACAGACTGCTGTTCTGTAAGCTCACAACCAGATCTTAATTTTGCTAGAACTTAAGTCACAAGTGTATATTCAGTATCATAAATCCTAATTAAGGGGAAGAAGTATATTTAAATTTGTTTTTAAATGCAACACAAAACTTCCATCTGCTAGATTTTAGAGGTTTATTTGTAGGTAATTTTGTTTAAATTACCTTCAGTATTTTTCTTGCATAGGTATCTCTCAGCTGACTTAGTGAAGATTTTTATTTTTCAGGTTTGTACTTGTTAGATAGAGATCACTTGCGCTAGATGGTGGTGCCAGCCAGTGGCCATGTACCAGAAGCCAAGCATTTTGCTAGTGATTTTTTGCCAAGTGGCCTTCAAGTCTCATGACCTTCTTGCATGGGGAGTGAGTTGTTCCTTTTCCCTGCTTCCTGGAGACAAGATTTATTAATGGAATTTTGAGCAAACAGTAGCTTCTAGGCTTCCCACTGTCTCCTCCAGGTAGCTGGTAAAGGAATGGGAATGGTGGAGAAAAAGGCAATTTCCTAGAAGGACCAAAAGTGAGCTAATTCCTAACAGCTCAGAATGACAAATCCCAGCTGTAGGTGTGATAACTCAGAGTGAAACAGAATCCTGGCAAGTTGTGAAACATACAGTGATTCTCACTCCACTTGCTAAGGACTCCAGTTTCAGAAGACTGTTAACCTGTTGAATCTTACTGAAATTAATGTTATGTGAAAAAGGTGCAATCAATCAAATGTAATGCCTTACTGAAGCAGTATCCATAGATAACATTCTCTGAATATGGTAAGTTCTTTAGTGTTTTTCCTGTACACAGTCAGAAAATATGTAAACTAGGGGAGGAGGAATACCTTAATTTAACTAATCATTGGTATTTTGTGCAATTCTTCCATTTCTAGTAAACTGGTTTAAGAAAACTGGTCTTATAAGAATGAATCTGTTTCATGCGGAGGAAAATACCCTAAAAATGTTAGGAAATAATGTAAACTGAATGCCACAACAGCTGTCTTCAGTGCCTTAAAAATGGTTCCAACCTGTTCCCATTTTGTGGTATGATACATTCCCCTCAAGGTGGAAAAAAATCAGTTACAGAATGATAAAAAAATCAGTTATAACATGTTAAAGACAACCTCTAACCCCTCAAAATAATTCTTAATCAGCTGCAAGGGTCAAGTAAGCTTCTAAATTTAACCAACCACAATGAACTACAGAACTGTTTAAAAGTCTTCTAGCTAATCTAGTGCTAGTGTATATAGAGTTAGAGATGATAGTGCACCAAAACATTAGGCATAAAGAATCTTGTTGATTTACTGGGGTGTTTTTCCCCTTATAAAAACTTCAAACCTTCTTATAGAAGTCTATTATTCTAAAAGAAAATTATGGTTCTTCTAGCATAGTTTTATAATGCAATACAAAAATGTAAATTCTGTAGAATAAATAGGCCAGCTGGCAAATCGGAGTGTTTAATGTAAACTGTTATCACTACACTGCTGTCTAGAACTGTTAAATTCTGCACAATTGGCACTGACGACTTGCCATACCCCATTCTTCGGTATCTTGCCATACCCCATTCTTCGGTATCTTGCCTTTATTCTGATCATAACAAACATGGAGTTGAATTTCACATGCTGATTTGTTGGGGTTTGTGGTGTGGTTTTGTCTGGGGGGGGTGTCTTTGTTGTTGTGGTTTGGGGTTTTTTTTGTGGTTAAAAAGGTGAATCCTACCTGTTATTCTTTAACATGGAATTGTCAACTCTAATCCCATTATTGCTTGGCTTGAAATACTACAGGGAGAAGTACAAAAAGCTATAAAGTAGTAGCTGAAAGATTTAAAGTTTCTTCGCACTGGCAATCAACTACAGCTATTTGTGTAAGATGGCAAAAGTTTCTGTTCCTTAGAAGCTGTGCAATACCACTCAGCAAGTACTCTAGCTGTTACACAGTGTTTCCTGAAAGCCTAAACTTCCTTTTTGTGCACAACCTGGAAGCTACAGAGCTGCTCTGTAGGTTATCTTGGGAGAGTTTATCTGCTATTAGCTGGACAGAAGTGTGCTAAAAAATGGAGATCACTAAGTGTCAAACTTTTGTATACAGAAACAGCAATCTCAGACAACTATTACTACCAAAAACTTGCTGTTAGGCTCACCTATACTCTGCACAATGTTAGGAGGCTAAGATACTGAAATGTTGCCTCATGTTCTTGAGCTTGTAGGTTCCAGTTTCAGTATGGTCAGGCTTGCCTATGGTTACTTTTACCATAGCAAGTGGTTCTTTTCCTCTCTACTATGTTCTCAAAAAAATGAATTTGTGCACTTTTGTGTAAATACATAAAACACTGCAGTCTTGCTGTTGCTTGCTTCTGCTTTTTTTTCTTTGGTCTTTAAAGGGTCTTGTATTTTTGACCAGGGGGTGGGGTAGGAGATGGATTTTATATGAAGAAACCCTGATTGTTTCCCCCTACCCCAGCAAAGACAGTGATTATAGGTAGGGAAATACCTAATACTTTCTAATACAGGTCTGTATGCCCTTCAGAACTTGCTAACACCCTCCTGCAATCTTTATTACAAGCCACATTTGTGTATTTGGCAGCAAGAGAGCAGAGAGTCCTTCAATGGTCTGTAACTCCTGCTGATTCTGCTCCTCTGCAGTAACGTGAAAGAGTCAAAGACAGACAGTACCTCCCCCAGCACTTACTGTGCTGCCACAGGACCAGAACAGGTGAGAGGGCCCTGAGGACAGAAGGGCTGCCTGTGACACACACTGATAGCTGTTCTGGTTCCCTCAACTGAACACCTATTAGTAGGTGGAATGTTTTCCATCTGGTTTCAGCCAGAGCAAACCTATGCTTTCTAGATAAAGTTTGAGTCACTACAGGAATCTAGCTGGACATTTGCTTCAAAAGAGCAATTTTTGAGATTTTTGAGCTGGGTCTTGGTGTTTCCAGTGCTATGCAGAACTGTGTCAACTGCCAGCCTTCCTGAACAACATATTCCTGTTGTGAGCTCCACTGATCTGCTTACACTGCTTTCTCCAAGTTCAAGTTGTGTCTCTTTGTACCTAAGCAAATCATAAAAAGAAACCATTTTTCCTTACCTTTTAAGTTGCAAAACCAGCTCACTAGGTATCTGCTCAAGTTACAGTGTGTGTGAGCTACCCCCAGCAACTGAGGTCCTGTCATGAGTTACAGGTAAATGGTTATAAAAGTGATGTGGTTTTGTATTATGACCTTAAGCTTGGGACTGCTGCTTCATAATGTATCCAGCAGGCTCTTTCTGTACAGCCAAAACATCCATTGCACAGCATTTACTAAGCATTGAGAAAGTTAAGATAAAATACAAAATATTAAGGGATGTATTTATTGAAACATGAATAAATAACATTTATTTCAGTGGGAAGTTAACAGTTAAGGACCTTTGAGAATATACCCTCTCTAAAAGCTAGACACCTACATCTAACATGGTTATGAACAGGGTAAGGAGGTACTCCAGTGTGCTTTGTCCTGTCTGAAGATGTGCTGCTTCAGGAGGTGGTGTGTTTTTTTTAAAGTGACCTTTAAGCTAGAGTATTCTTCCTGTATAATCACTTTATGCTAAGAAGTCAATCACTCTGGGAACTTAAAGCTACAGCCACAATGGCTTCAGGTCATAGCAGAATGCCCCTTCCAGCATAAGCTTTGTTCAAACCTGAGTTTTCAATACATCTCATGCTAGAACTCATCTCTGGCACATGAAACCACATGACTTACAGCAGTCTTCAAAGAGGTTCTGATAGTTTTATTTTTTAATTCATTAATTAAATAACAAAATCAGAAGGGGGGAAAAGTAACTAAAAAAAAAATCACACAACTAAAAACAAGATTAAAATTGCTCTGGTAAAACAAACAGTGAATTCTGTGATTACATTTTTATACAGTATAGCTTGTATGAAAAATATAAAAGATTTTCAGGAAGGACCAAAAATAAGTTTCCTCAAGAATTATTTGTATTATGTAGTCCAGATGAAGAATGAAAGCACATCAGTAATATGGTAAAATTTCTGAAGATTTAGATCTTAAGCATGGGTTATGCTACAATGTAATTCTTTA